AGCAGAATAACTGGGCTAGTGTTTCTAATCCCCACTGAATTTTAGAAAATTTACACAAAATCTATAGAGGTTGGTGGACCCGGGCAAATTATATTAAAGGGTTGTGTAGTAGTAGTAAAGGCAGGGATCATTTCATAGTTAAATGTGAAATAAATGGAACTTGTGAAACTAGGCAAAGAAATGAAATAATTACCAAAGTGATACTTTGTTTTAGGTTTCAGTGAATACCTCGGTAATGTCATGCTAGAAACGCTGATCATTTGAAGGTGCAGGTTGAGACTTGGGTGGTAGGAGCTTGATATGAAACATAGGTCTCTGTTGTCATAAGAACAATTTATGCATGTCATGCATGTTGCATCTGTCAGTAGAGTTAATTACCAAAAAAAGTTGTGGTTTCATTTTTTAACCTCTGAGTATTAATTTCAATAGAAATTTAATAATGTTCAGCATCACTGTAAAGCTTTATTGTCCTTGCTGAACATTTTTTTTTGCGTTTGAATTTATAGATATTGTGAGTTTTAAATTCCCCTGTTTACGGGTTTTGGTATTTGAATTTTTTTATTATTATTATTTTATTTTATTTTATTACTTTTTATTTATTTTATTTAATTATTTTATTATTTTTTCCCCAGACAGTCAGAAAATGTGGGTAAGAGGTTATAAAAGTAACTAATGGTTTGTTTGCACAATTAGTAAAATATAATTTTTCCATTTTTCATCTCATAGTTTAAGTGAACATGAACCTTTCTCTTAAGTTTTATCTATTTATTCCCAGTTGCTGTAGTAGTGATGTGCTTTTGCTGTTTTGCAGCATCAAAATCATCCTGTTTGTGATGCTCCGTTTGGTTGCAGTGGAGATGATTGTCAGGAGAAAAACAATTTTCCAGGAAGCATTAATTGAAATTATGGGTTTATATTCAGTGTGCAGTAACTGACAGATGTAGATAAGGAACGGGGAAAAACCATTAATTGTTGTTTCTGCAGATTTTTAATCATTCTCTCCCTCCAAAAAGCAACAATTGGGGAAAAAAAAAAAAAGTGTTAAAAAGGCAAGCCAGATGAAAGAAGAAATCCATTTAATATACTGCACAGTATCATAGAAAATGCTTTCTAGCTAATCTTTTGTTCTTCACAAATTGCAAACAATTTTGGAGGAAAAGTTTTGGAAACAAACCTTAAGAAACTATTCAAGTGCTAGAAGCATCAGTAATCAGTTTTCACAGTATTTCTTAAACATATGCATAATATTTGTAGACAAATTTGATATAAATCTGTACAACCATTCTAAAACACTTTGGTCAAGCAAAGAATTGTTGCATAGCCTTAACATACAGAAGTATTTTAAATATATACATATATGTGTGTGTGGACACATGAATTTAAAGCCAGCCTGTCTGTGACTTATTGCCATACAGAATACATCATCTAATGCTTCTGCTTTTGCTAGTAACATTTGGATTCTGAGGTCATATAGAACCGGTATCTCTGTTAACTTTTTTTTTTTCTTTTTTCCTTCTTCAGTTCCTCTTCATATAGGAATGATTTTTCTTATTGCTCTCATTTGCACTATTCTATCATTATTGTCACAGCAGTCAATACATAGACTAAGGGACAAATGAGGAAAAAAAAAATTCAAGAACAGTAGTGAAGTAAGTATGTGTAATAAGGGGGAGGGAAAAAAGCAAGTCTAGCAGCAGGAATGCCATCTCCTGGTTAAAGTAATGGTGAGGACAGATGTCCACTTGCAGATCCTGCTGTGCTAATTGACGTTTTTACCATCTGCACTGCCTGTCAGCGTGCACTCACTGGGAAGCAGCATCCCGCAGATCCGCCAGTGCGACAAAGTGCGAGTGACCTCTAATCCTCTTCAAGCCGCAAAGTTCGGCTTGCTTAAACCACCTCTAGGACTATGTGAAGTAGCATTTCTGAATAAAAAGATTTGAAAAGATAAGGGGTGCCCCTGTGTACTTTCTTCTGGCAATGCCATGGAGAATTGATGGAAACTTTTGCAAAGTAAGCATCTTCGCCTCTGATTCTCAGTGCTCTTTCCCTTAGCAGTACCTCTGTGTACAGCTTTGACTTCTCTACATATTTTATTGTCCCTTTCTGACCTTATTATCTCTGCAGTAACACTTAGGGCTGTTAAGATGCTGACTTCATCATCAGTCTTTGTATTTCTTCATGCTCTCCTTTCCTCTTGCTCTGGAAATCCAGGAGTTTGTCAGCTCCTGATATTCAGAGGGAGGGGAAAAAAAAAATAGAATGAATTTCATTTTCCAGCATTTCTAAATAATTCACAAGAAAATAAATGCCATAATTAAAGAAGAAAGAGCACAGTTAAATAAAATTTATTTCTAAAATCTAACATAGGTTACATAGACTGGAAAATCATGGTGGACATAGATTCTTTATGCCCAGTCTAGTTCTCAAACTTATGGTTCCTAAATTTCAGTGTCAGTGGACAATATGTGTGTTAGAGAAGCAGCAGCTCTTTGAGTTCCAGTCTCTCTCTCTTTCCTTTGCTTTGGAAGCTTCTTAGTATGTATATATGAAACACCATATGTGCTATGATTAGCAGCATAGGACAGGACATGCATACCTTTTGTGGCTTATTGACAATAAAGTACATAACACAGTTTGCAAAGCGGTAAATTCATCGTAAAAGGCTAGGTAAATGTAATTAGGATTGTTCAAAACTAGGGCAGCTCTTTCCTGTGCTGTTTCAGCCATGGCTTCCCGCAGCTGAGTACCCAGTCATCTGCTTACCTGCTGGAGCTGGCCTGCTGCTGTGCACATATGTTCTGTGTTGGGAAATACTCCTTTGAAGATGTATTTTTCTTCTGCTTTCCAATATGCATTTGAGGTCTTTCTGCTGCTTGTAGATGCATTATATGAATGTTTCTGCCAGAAATTCCTACCACTGTCAACAGGGTTGATGCACTTTCCCCTTCATGTATGAAGTCACTGCAGTATCTGGGGCAGGTTATGTTTTGGGGAACTAGTACAAATTGTGCATGCTATTTTTAGTGAAAACCCTGTTTTGTATTAAAGGGCTTTGCAGCCCTCTGGAAGCTGATCAAATTGGACTTGTTTCATTTCTCCTGAAGGCTTGTCCCTATGTCAGATCCCATCAGTGGCGAGTGACTCCTCGGATCTCCCACCTTTGTTGCCTTAACTTCTCTGATCTACATTGGTTCACAAAAGGGTAACTACCCAAATGGCTCATCATCTGCTATTCACATTTCACATGGGTAAAGCCTTTAGCCCGCATTGGAAGCTGACTGAGAACTCACAGAGGAGCTGAGAAGTCTGACGTGATTGTGTGAATTGCAGAGATAGGCATAGGCACACTTTGTAGTAGCTGCAACCTGTGTTGTAGTCTCACTAAGCAGTAGGTACTGAAAATTAAATTGAGCGAGGCAATAATAACTACAGCATGCCTTTACCTGGGAGGGGAGGATAGTGTTTCATAGAAGCTGAAATGAAAGTTTGATGAGTTAACCAAGAACCAGAAACTACACAGCAGTTGTAATTATATACTCGAAGTGAAAGGTGAGTCGGCTGTGGCTGTACTGTGGCAGGATTGATACTTTCAGCAAAGCATCACTTTGGTCTTGAAATTATGCCTGGACTGGTGCTTTCATCTGGCATGTGTGCACCGTGGTGCTGGGAACAGCAGTGCCAGTCCTCAATGGCTGGGACATAAAGCTGGGTGTCATTAGCACATTAGGATCCTCGTTTCTTCTGCTTGGTGTCTTGGAGATGCTTGTAAGAGGGCTTTCCATTCTTCACGTACCTGTAGGTGTCAATGTTCCTAAGAGGAAGGGAAGGAGTTACCTTGACCAGTGCAAGAAGAGGAGTGATGGGAAGCCTTTTAGCATGGGATGGTTTCCTCTTGCTCTCTTGCAAGCACCTTTTTAGTGATCCTCTGAGGTCAACCCTCAGTGGAACTATTTTAATTGTCATCTTAGTGTGAATAAGTGTGAATAATTTTGTGTTGCTGATTGCATTCAAAACCTACAGTTTTGTAAATATTTCAACAGATGAAAATATTATTTGACAGATACCCAGATACCTGTAACCTCTCTACTTTATTTCAGTTCCTTATACTGCTGAGAGCAGTATATAGGCACAGTTATTCTACCTGAACATTTGCAAGTATTTTGTAGCTTTTTTTTTTTTTTTTTTTTTTTTTTTAACAGAAAAGGTGATAGATATGCACAGACTTGATATAATTAAAACACGGGGGAAAAAAAAAAGTACCTAAGTGAAAGGTTGGAACTCTTTAGCAAAACTTCATTCACATTCTTACATTGCATCCTTACATTGAAATGCACTTAACTTGAAGTGTCATGAAGAAAACATACACTTTTATACAGATTTAAGGAACCTTTGCTTGCTTTTTCTTTACACATATATCCTGTCACTGTGGTTGTCTTCCTAGGGACAAAATTTGACACAGTTCACTCCAGCAATGATGTGACAGTACCTATGCAGCAAGAGCAGTTGCTTTTGATGGAGAACATGACATGCTTTATTGAGTTTTACTTTGAGGTCATCAACCTGAGGTCTGAACAAAGATATGCTGCTTCTGATATTACCAAAAGCTGCCGACAGCTATTCCAGCTGCATCCCAAATAGATCATAAAGTCCAAATAATTATGTTTTCAGAAGTCATTGCTTACGTGTATACATGTTTATATGTGTATATATGTATATATAGAGAGAGATATTAAAGTAAGCCTACTAATTCACAGACTGATTTAGGAATAAAAGTGACAGGAATTACTACTAAACAAAGTCCTTAAGGATTCCATTCAGAAAGTAAGGGCAAGTCATCTTGCAAAAGCAAAATGTAAATGGAAAATCTGCCTGTTGTTAATATGCCATGGTTGGTACAGCTTGTAGTTGTACTTGAAGAAATAATTTATAGAAAAGCAGGTATAAATGGTTATTTTCTATTTCCCTGCATTTTTAATTTTTAATTTTTTAATTTACAGGATTAGCTGGCACTGCTGCAGATCTAGAAAAAAGAAAGCTTATTTTTGGAAAAAACTTCATTCCCCCAAAGAAGCCAAAAACATTCTTACAGCTAGTCTGGGAAGCACTGCAGGACGTGACTCTTATAATCTTGGAAATTGCAGCCATCATATCTTTGGGGCTCTCATTTTACCAGCCACCTGGAGAAGGCAATGAAGGTAAAAAGAAACTCTTTATTGAAGTAATTTGCATAGATTTAAGTGAAAATGGTCCTATATCTCAAATTGATTCCATCCCTACCCTCCAGAAGGTCACCAACAGGAAATTTCCATTTCAGTTGTTCCTATTACCACTACATAGTAGTAGTGATGTATTATTTGCATGCTTGACATTTCTTTATGCAAACAGTTGACCTTTGTGACGTGTGCTGAGTTAAAACCATAATATTCTTATAGAACTTGAGTATTTGTTTTCACGTTTGAGCTTGTGGTTGGTGTTTATTAATCTTAGATTATTGTTTAGCATGTTATAGAGGAGAAATATGTGGTTGCTTATGTAACTGATGTAGCCTATGTACATAAACATGGGCAGGTCTTCAGCTGGATTATACCAGATGAAGACTTGAATTTACTGAAGTTCACTCATTTTAGTATTTTTAGTGACATAGCTAAAGGCCAGTGAGCCTAGCTGGACAGAGAGTAATAGAAGCTAGGTCATGTTGCTTCTAAGCTATAAACTGCAGGATCCTTCTGCAATATCTGTAGAAGGTTTTAAGCCCCCCCCCTTTGAAAGTACTCTTGAATTCACATGCTTAAAATATTCGTTCCTCTGCATAAATGCAAGATTTCCATTTCTGGCAACCGATCCAGATTTTTTCTTTCCTGTTCTCTCATAGACTTATAAAGCTGGATAAAACATGCTGTGTGAAATGACGTGAATAGCTTGGCAAACGTATGAAGAATGTCTTCCTCTAAATATAACCTTGAAATGCTTTTTACATTTGCTTCAGTTTCCTTTGGCTACTTTCCTTGAAGACCCTTCCTTTTTCCTTTTCCATTCACGAGCAGAACTGAGCACGTAGCTATGCGTAGCTCTTGTAGCATATTTATGATTCTTTAATCTTTTCTATGTAATCAGGAATCTTTTGTTGCTTTCTCACTGAGCATTGAATATGTTGTTATCAATTTCAGCAGGTCTCTGATGTAGGCATGAGAAGGGAAAGAAGTAATTTATTTTTTAACTGAAGAAAACATTTATTTTCATTAGCACATACCTGGGCATAGTAGGATACCGTGGGGACATTATAAACCATGAAAAATGGTTTACAAAATTAAGATTTCAATTCTGCAAACTTTTTTTTTTTTTCCCCCTTAGGCACAAATGTGCCCTCTTATTTGTAAATTTACTTTGTGCGTTTTTTTTTTTGAAAATATTTTTAAAATAGGATTGTCACAAGGTTTTAGGAAGAGGAGAGTTGTGTCATCAGACCATGATTTTTATTATTACTTTTATTATTATTATTATTGTAATTTTGATATCGTATTTAAAATGTTTCTTTTCCCATGGGAATGTATGACACATCTGAAATTCTGGGACAGTCTGAAAAGCTCAAGCAGTACAGCCTGGGAAAATGTGTTTGTGTTTTCCCACAGCACAGTATTTCATTCAATGGTCTCTAGTCTCCCCACATTTTTAGAACTGTTTTTCTGTAAGATATTTTATTAGTTAATATGATAAGTTGAAGTCTTCCTTAATTTTTTAGAAGAGATACAATTTGTTTTGAAACTGACTGTAAGTTTTGAAGCTGTAATGGAATTAGTTTCTGTAGCTTAAGTGCAAGATGCATTTTTTTTTTTTTTGTATTTGGAGGAGGAATACAGGATAAAATCCACAGATCAAAAAACAAAAACACATTAGAATGCCTGAATTGCTTCAGTAATTGCTACCAGTACAGTGTAATGTATGCATATCTCTGTGTGCTTTCTTGTGTTAGGCAGCTATAAGATTAAATGTTTTTCTGTGTGTTGGACTGACTGTTTTCCAATTTTAAACTATATATGTTGATACATTACCAAAGCGGAAGTCCTCTGACTAGTATAACTGCATTTCCAAATGGCTCTAGTGCAGTTTGGTATTGTCTTTAGAAAAGTAAGTAGGTTATTACTTTCTGAGTCGCATTTACTTTACACCTTTGGAAATAAGGAATATTTCTGGGATTTTGAAGAACCAGTAGCTACCTTCCTCAATCAACCTTGGAACTAGTAGTGGTAGTAATCTCCTGTTGGTAGTACCTGAAGATTTTGTTCTCCTGCATTTAAGATATGAATGAATCTTGGAAAACAATCTTTTTTTTTTTTCTTTTATTTTCTGCTATCATAAAATCTTATCTATGCGAATTACTAGATAATAGTGTAGTTTGTTTTTATTGCTTCTCCAGAAGCCACTTCAGCTCCTGTATTTTTCACTTTTCTTAGTAAGAGTGAAAGTTTCAAGAATTCTGTTCTCCAAAGCTACGCTAGAGTTGTTTTTATGATCTGCTTTGCATTCCCTTTTACCATCTGACAGGCCATTAGGAGCAATTGAGAACTTCTGCATAAATTATTGTCAGCCCTGTGGCAATTACTGCTCTCATTACTGATCCACACAATCATTTTTCCACTCTTTCAAAAAAGTGCAAAACTGCTGCTGTGTTTCAGTAAATGTATTTTGAGAGAAAATTGCTGGTGCAGATGTAGTCACTGCTCTAATGGTGATTACACAGGGATGTGACTTAAGCAAGCTGAAAATACTTTGTGCCTTGGAACAAAATCCTTCAGTGTCCTGGGTTAACAGATTACAGACTCTGAGCAAACATAATAGTGAGCCTGTGATATGTGAAGGGGATTTAACGAATATATGGGAGCCTGGCTACATGGTGGTTTGTTTGTTTGTCTTTGCAGTGTAGATTAGTTAGTCCAGGACCGTATTTGAATGTTTATCTTTCTGTATCACTGTGTGGTGAAATAATTTTTGCATACATTTTTTTTAAAGAAGTATCAATGCTGTTTTTAAAGCCAGTATATAAATAGAAAGAATGGGTGCTTGAGATCAGCTACCCAAACTGTGGTCTCAAACCATCAAATTGCTTGTGGAAATGAAACAAGGGAGCTCAGGGGAAACAAGGGGAAAGGGAGCTCAGACTGGGTGAGAACCCCCAAGAAAGTGAGAAATTGCAGTGTTACGGAACGGAGCTGAAGGAATCTTCTTTTTTCCTTTCCTTTCCTTTTCTTTTTTTTTTTTTTTTTTTTTTTTTTCTGATCCGCTCCCTGTAGATCTCTTCCCCATAGCCACCTTGATATAGTCTGCCCTGTGGATTAGCAGTACTGCCCAGCCATGGTCCATTCCCCATCTCTACTGGTGTTGTGTGTGAACTGGTTAAAAATTTTCAGCCTTCTGTTAACACCTTCACTAGCAACTTTTGAGCCTTGAATCCTCTCCCTTGTTACCATCCCTCAGGCCTTATTTCACATGTGGCTCCTATTACCCTGTTGCACAACCCACTGATATCAACGCCTGACAGTCATTTACTATTTACATGACTGCAACAAGCTGTTGAAGTTTTCTTCCTTGAATTATGTTTCCTTATGTGAATTACAACTGAGGGAAAAAGTAGCCCGAGGTGAGATGTTTTGAAGTCCCAGCTGTCAGTGGGAAGCCACAGGCATAACATTTATTGTCTAGTGTACAGTTCTTTGCAATTTAGGTGGAGGAGGAAAAAAAGAGTAATCTTTTTGATTTTAGGTAGTTTCGGTTGAAATTCCCAAGGCAAAACTCTGTATTGAAAGCAAAGCTTTTGTTGCACAATACTGCTCAGCAGAGGTTTGGCTGGGTTAGCCTTCCTGTTATTCATGCAACAAGTTAATGAACAGGAACAAATGCACAAGCAGGGTACAGTACCCTGAAATCTGAACCTCCCAAGTCAGATGCATTAACCTGCAGTGGTGTTGATATGCCGCAGCTGGGATGCCTGTTGACCTCTTAGTTTTCTTACAGGAGATAATATTTCTGCTGGTTCACCATTCAGGCATTTCCCTATCATTCCTGTAACATATTCCATTGCTTGGTCAACAGGAGATTTAAATCAGAAAGGGCACCTGTACAGGTGAGAAGGTACAGCTGTTCTGCAGTGGGGAGGGTGGTTGCTCATTTTCTTTCCATGCTGAACTGCCCAGTTGTGATGGTCCTCATAGTACAACTGTTCTGCATGCCCCTAGCACATCACATACTCCTTATATGTGGACCTTGAACAAGGACATGTGCATGGGACAGCAAGTCACAGTCAGACATGGAAATGAAAGTGCCAACATGCCCACTGGTGGGGTATTTGCCAAAGAGATGTAAATGCATCTACTTGTAGATGCCTCTACTGTAGAAGCAAAGGTATTATTCAGATTAAATATCTGTGAAAATATGTCTTAAAGGGGAAAAAAAAACAACCTGAGCAACTCACCCCCACCTTGTGCAGATCTATTGCTTAAGATCCAAAACACTGTGCTGTGCTGTTCTCATCTGCTCTTGTGCTACTGCCTGTGAAGACATGAGTCAAAATATCTCTCTTGACATTTCATCACATTGAGCAATTCTGTAGAAATATGTCACAGTGGGAGAGATTTGGAACGGTGATTAGTGCAGGTATCTGCAGAAGGATATAAAAAAGTAAACATTTCATATTTACAAGTATATAAATATATATGAGAATATAAAGCAGCTAGCAAGAAACTTCTTTTAGGAGTGAAAGTGCTGAACTGAATACCAGGTGGCACAAATTTCTATCCAATTTGTAGTCTATACCAGTGTACACTTTATTTATTTGTTTATTTTAAGACCAGCTGATTTGGGTCAATCCAATCCTCTTGGCAAGTTCCCTCCTCTCAGTGCAAATTCTGCTGGAGCACAACAGCTGCAGTAGGCACTCTGCTGGCTTTCAGCAAGGCTCAACTGCAGGGTCATGTTATAAAGATGTCCCAATCCCCCAGCACTTACAGTAAATGTTATAAGATTTCTTATATTTAAAAAACAAACAAACAAAACCAAGTAATATCACATAATTAAGACTTTATTCCTTTCCTACATTTCAAAATGCTGTTGTTATATCCTTTATCTTTTCATGGTTCCAGCTCTTGTTTTTCCTTACATCAGTTGGTGGTATTAATGCTTCTGCTGTGACACCTAGCCTTCT